GCATCCTCCAGAATGATCAATTATCATTCCAACCATCCGTGGACGCAGAAGAAGCTCATTAAGAAAATATACGCCTTAAGTGACCAGGAATTCAGAAAAGACAACAGCAGGAAAATTAGAAACATATTACATAAAAACGGGTATCCACACAAAGCTGTTGAGAGGTTGATAGCAACAGCGAAAAACAAGCCAAAAGCAGCGCATTTCAACACTCAACCCGAAACTACAACAAAAGATACACAGGCGTCACGTATATACAAGGATTAACGGATAGTAAAAAAATACGAAAAAGCATCCAAAACGAAAACATAACATTTGCACATAAACCACATAGAATGATCAATAGAATTTTTAGCAAAACAAAAGACGAAATAAACAAAGAACAACAACATAACGTGGTTTACGAAATAAAATACAATGGTAAAGCTAGCGAAGCATGCAATAAAATATACATAGGCACAACGAAGCGCGCTCTCGGTATTAGAATAAGCGAACATAAAACCGACGCAAGAAATAAGAAGACAACGACTGCATTAGCACAACATTTAACGAATAGCGGGCATACAGCAGACTTTGAAAACGCGAAAATATTAGATGTGGAGAACAGAGATAGAACTCGACTTACATTAGAAAGTTTGCGAATACAACAAAAAATACAGAATGCAATGAATTTTAAGGAAGACGTCGACAATATAAATTGCGCATACAGGACAGCAATAATGGTCAATAGGAGAACAGACGAGCAGAAGTACACTTAAATATAATAAGTTGAAATCAGTGTGTATTTTTGTTATATTTTCTTTGTTTGATGTTCAATGAAAGTTATGTTTTGCGGGAAAAATTGTTACACCAACGTATTGTACTTGTTATAATTTTTATTTACATACATATGTGCCTAATTGTTTGTTTTTTATGTATTGTTTTCAATAAACACCAGACTCCCTGAGGAAGATGTGAAAAACATCGAAACGCGTAGGAGGAAAAAGAAACATTGTTTGCTTTTTATTGAACCGGCCGAAAAGCTCCTTAAACTACCCTATAGGAAATTGAAAGTTGGCCCTAGAAACATAATGGCTTATTGTTTTCCAATGGCAGCTTTATTTCCTGTTTTACCATAGGGTTTGCGGGTCTATGTGGCTGTACTTATTCTTTGCGGAATATCTCTTCAAATTTCTTTCTGTCACAAAAACTAGTTTCTTCGCCTATCTTATATTCGAAAGTATTCGCATCGTGTACATTTAGCTCCAAAATCTGTGATATGACCTTATCATTTCGTTACTTTCATTGTCTTCACTTTGAAATGTATCGTTAACTATATTTACATTACGTGCGTTCTTATTTGCTATCACACCCTCGTTAATGTTATCAACTTTAAATACATTGCTTCCAGTATCAACTTGTGATATTTTATGTGTTAATTCAATATTTCCAATTTTCAACTTTGCGTTACTTATGTCTATAAAATCCCTACCTAGTACGACTGGGTAACATATAGATTCATTAGGAACCACTACAATTTCAATCATAAAATTTTTTTTCAAAACGTTAACCGAAACATACATTTTTCCAATTACTTTTAATGTAGATTTGTTTAATCCAAAATAAGAATTCATAACTTTATCCAAACGCACTCGTCCAGGAACAAAAACCTCTTTGATTATACTTATAGGGCTCCCCGAGTCAATTAGGCATTCTATAAACATATCTATTTTAGGTTGTGTTAAAATACTTATATTGAAATAACTTACAAACTTTTTATCCGTGGCCTTCTTCTTGTATTTACCTCAATTGCCAGGTGCCCTTGTTGTCATCACGCATAACACGACCCAAATTCCCGTTTTGGCTTCCTGCACTCTTTCGCGAAGTGCCCTGTACAGATGCAATTGTACCACGTCGCGGTAGAATTGGCAGCTTCCAAGTGGAGCTCCTGAAATACGCAAAATATAAACTGAGATAGCCACCCAAACGTGATTAAACACTTGCGGCTTACCCGGAAAGATTGCAGTGCGTCGTTTCCGTAGTCGTGGTGACGGTCGCGCGTGTGGAATCATTTATATGGTGATTTGTAATCACAAAATATAAAATATTAACAATTTTCGCGGACTTGCAGACTGGAAAACATTTTACGAGCGACATAGCAGAAATATGCCGTGTTTACAAATAAAGCGTTAAATACAGCTGATCTCCTCGTTAAAAGTGGGAACAGTTTGGTTCGGCCAGTGGTAGTCAAATAGTTAAAGCAAACTTAGCGAAGTACCAAACCAAACAGCAGATATTGACTGAAGCTAGGGTGGTAGCAAAATAGCCCTGTGGGTTTGTGAGTATTTTTATTACAAGGTCGCCTCCACCGGGGCGAAATGCGAAGGCGGGTGGAAATGCAGCAGGTGGTGGTATATTGGCAACCGAGAGTGCGGACGTCATAAATCCTTTTGGAAAGCGCCCCAGACTGGCGAGCTCGCCTACAAGACCCTTGCCATCATCTCCAGGCGCGCATATCGCCCAAGCAGAAGATCAACCTACCGCGTGGGTTACTCTGGGAGTTAAAATACGGGAGTTGGTGGAAATGCTGGAAGACGGCAAAAGAAGGTCCATTCACCAACCTATGCGCGATATCATTGCCGAGCTGGCCATACTGTATGGCAAAACAAAGAATGCGCTACCGCGAAACGTGTTGAGTGTCGCTTACCAAACTACGCCTCAAAAAATCCCTGGGAGCGGTATACCGAGTAAAACTGGAAAGCAGCCAAGCACTGCGATAGAACGTCAGGAAAAAGTAATGACGCCAGCGAACGTAAGCGAAGAGAAAAACCGAGCAAATGGGGCGAACGATGGTAAAGAACCCCAATGGAAGACAGTAGAAGGAAAGAAAGGTCGAAGTCGAAACCCAAGTTGCCAAAGCCGGATGCGATAGTAATAAAAAGTCATGACGGCAGTTAGTATGCAGAAATACTGCGAGGTTTAAAAAACGATCCCCAATTAAAACATTTGGAAGACGTGGTAACCAAAGTACGCAAAACCGGCAATGGGGAGCTACTCCTCCAATTGGCCAAACCAACGGATTCGCACACAGTGGAGGTTCAACAAGCGGTCAAGGAAACGCTGGGAGAAAAGCGACGGTAGAGACCCTGACCGCAAAAACCGCGGTAGAAGTCAAGGACTTAGATGAGCTAATAAGCAAGCAAGAGCTCTGTTCTGCCTTAGAAAGGGAGGTCGATGGCAGCAAAATTACTGTAGAAGCCGTGAAGTCATTGGGAAGCGCGTACAGTGGCACGAAGACAGCAACGCTGCTGCTGCCAGCCGCCATGGCGAGCAAATTGATCGCAGTGGGCAAAGTTCGGGTAGGGTAGGTAGTCTGTCAAATAAGACTTAAAATGCACCCGACACAATGCTTCAAATGTCTAGAGTTTGGCCATCTGGCAAGAAATTGTAAATGCATTCACGATTCGAAAGGGGCGTGCTTCAATTGCGGTAATATAGGCCATAGAGCCAACGTATGTAAGAAGGAGAAACGGTGCGTAATCTGCTCCAGAAACAAAAAGCCAGACGTAAGGCACAAGACAGGCAGAAAAGACTGTCCGTACTATATAGAGGCGATACAAAAATCCCGGACATC